CCCTCTTTCTTCCTCTCTCCCTAAAATCAATAGAGAAAATAATTATTTTTTTAAAAAGGAGGATCACCAAGCAGGTGGGGGGAGTCTTCTTGCAGAAAGTGACAACTGTGTCTTGAAAGATGACAGGAAATTCGCATGTGATGGGTAGAGGGGAAGGGATGACAGAGGGGGCTTCAGGCAGCAGGCAGGGGCCCGAGTCTAATACCATGTTATGCGCCCAGACTGCCCGTCACTTGAGTCAAGTTCGAGGCTAAAATTAATGGGAAACAGGCCAAAGAGCTTCACCTTACATAAGCTGAAGTTCATGGGGAGTCACTGAAAGGCCAGGGGGTGATGTGGGGAGGTTTGTCTCTGCTCAGATAGAAAGGAGCAAGAATTGGGCAGGACGCTTGAAGAGATGCTACAGACGAAAACAGACCTGTGGAAAGTCCTGGAAAGTCATGCTTTTCTAGATATAGCATCAAATTCCCATTCTTTGTCCCAGTTCATTTAGCTCCATGAATTCTAAAATCTGCAAAACCGACCTCATTGGTCAGGCCTAACTGTGGCTCATGTGGCATTATCCCTACCACGTGCTGTATAATGTGAGCCTCCTGAAGGAGGCTAACCAGGAAGGAGGACCCTTTCTTGAGTTTAGATCTTGGCAGATCCTTTCTGTTGCTTCCTTTATGTAGTGGGGGAAAAAATTAATTACTTGCTAACTACAGCATCTCCCCTTTAAAACATAATGAAGAGTTAATCCAGGAAGTTCAATCTGGCCTACATTTATTTCATCACATTCTACTGTAATTGATTTAGGGAATAATTCTACTCAGTGGTGGAAATGAACAAACGTCCACAGGCCCAAACATTCAAACCTCATCAGCCAACAGGCAATTGGTTTGCAGTATGCAAATGTCTTCCCAGCCATCCCCACGGAAATCACGGTCCCTTCTCCGACTCGCATTAGCCCGTGGCAGCTCTAAACTGAAAATCAGAAGTTTCCCTTTACGGAAGGTCAGCCCTGGAAAATCGCTCCCTGCCCCACCAAACACACTCCCTTTTGGGATTTCCCAAGTTGAAGCTGATTTCCTGAACTTACCAAGTGCTTACTCTCATTACCGGTGTGCGTCCTCTAACGGAGGGAATTCTCCTTCCAAAGGCGGGACTATTCCCAACAAGATCCCACAGCTTCCCGGTGAGAAGCCCGCCAGGAAGCCTGCTGAGCATTTCAGTACCCTGGTGTGTGCCAGCTGTGGGGACCTCCACCCGCAGCACCCCTCCCTCAGCCAGATGTGTTTATTTCCGAGTGCGTCACAGGGACCAGCAGAGTGGCCTGCTGACTTCCTTCAAGCAAGAGGTCGCAGCCAGTTTTAAATAACTGTTGTCTATTCCTTCTCCCATTTATTGTAAGACATCGCCACAATTATCCCTTTCTGCTCACCCACCCAAGTCAAACAGATGAGGGGGGCAGGGGGGGCAGGCATGGTGGGAAGGACGCCTAACCAAAGCAATGTCTCTACCATGAGCAAATCAGTATCATGAGGACAACTATGACTGTCATCTCACTAGACCGGTGTGCAAAACACCATGCTTAGAACGTGAACGGAAACCTCGGAGAGTCACGATGATGTACCCAAGGTCACGTAACTAGAAAATAGCAGATTCTGGACAGTCTCGGGGCTGCAGGACTGGCACCCAGTGCCCTCCCCGGGATGCTACCTTCCTGAAGAAGAAGTGAGCACTGCCCGCTGAGATCTGACTTGGTACCAAGCTTGCATTACGAGATACGGCCCTCGGTAATCAGTGCTCGTAAAGTTATATAAACCCCAAATTTACTTTTAAAATCTCAGCCATTATACCTTCTGATACTCCTTTGTTACTGGCTAAAGAAAGCTTTTCTAAACTGAAATGTAACCCTTGTATAGCTTCTCCACAAAGCAGCCAGAGGCCTCTTTTTTTAAAAAAAAAAACTAAATTTTCCATCGTGTATGTTATAAGAACATCACTGTGGTCCTACATACCCGCAGCGCAATTATCAAAATCAAGAAACTTAACATTGACACGATACTATCGTCCAGGCCACAGTCCATACCCACGTCTCACTGATGGGCCCGTGGTGTCCTTGAAATGCTCTTTGCTGGTTCCCAGTGCAAGACTCAGTCCTAGATTCATATTGAAAATGCAATGACACTGCCCTGGCCGGTTTGGCTCAGAGGTCAGTGTCGGCCCGCGGACCAGAGAGACCCGGGTTCGGTTCCCGCTAAGGGCACGTACCTCAGTTGCAGTTTGTCCCTGGCTCTGGTTGAGGTCATGAGGGTGGCAGCCAGTCAATGTGTTTTTCTCTCTCTTCCCCCTTCTCTCCCTCCCGCTCTATTTGAAGATAAGTGCAAAAATGTCCTCAGGTGAGGATAAATAAATAAATGAAAATGCAATAACAACATGTTGTGTCTCTTTAGTCCCTCTGAATCTGAAACAGTCCTTAGCCCTTTTTTTGCATGTGTTTCTCAGCGATGCTATTTATGAGAAAGGTAAGCCAGTTTTTTCGGAGAAAGCCCCTCGATCGGGATATATCTGATATTTCTCCGTTATTTGATGCAGGTTATGCATTTGGGGGGCAGGAAAACCACAGACATGACGTGGTGTCCTTAGTGAATTCTTTCCAGAAGCCCATGTTACTGGTTTTTCCATTTTTGGTGATATTAATGTTGACCCCTTAGGGATGTCTGCCAAGTTTCTTCACCATAAATAAAGTTACTGTTTTCCCTTCCTATGGCCTTTGTAAGTCAATCCTTTGAGACGATCATGCCTTTCCTCATCAAACTTTAATCACTAGTTGTAACATTTGCTGCTGATTATTCATTCATTCACTTAGATCAATACAAATCATAAATATTAATTGAATTGACTGGTTTATAATCAAATTGTGATGCTCAAATTGGCCCAGATTTGGCTAAAGGGAGCCTCTTCAAGCTAGCTACTATTTTTTTTTTTTAATAATAAACTACTTTTGGAACGGTTTGAGTTGTACAGAAAAGCTGCAGTAGTGCATACAGCTCACAGCTACTCCTCACGGCTGCGTCACCATGCTACGTACCAGCAGTTTTAGGTTACTATGAACTGAACTCCAGACTTTATGAGGGATTTTTCCTCTAAGTCCCTTCCTGGATCCAGTTCCAGACACCCCATTGCAGTTGGTTGACATGTCATCTCTGTCCACTCTACTCTGTTCGTTTCTTCCATCTTTCCTTGTTTTTCATGACCTCAATAATTTTGAGGACTACTGGTCAGGCAGTCTTTAGAATGTATCCCCCTATGAGGTTATGGGATGTTTTAGTGATGATTAGACACGAGCTATGGGGGTTAGGGAAGACTACCACAGAGGTGAAACTTTGTATCATCACATATCATAACAGGGACATATCATAACAGGGAGTAGTATATGCCAGCAACATGATTTACCACTCGGGGTGTTAACTTTGATCGTTTGGGTTAAGGTAGTGATTTCTAGGTTTCTCCAATGCAAAATCACTATTTTCCCCTTTCTGCGTTCTAGTCATTGGAAATGAGTCACTATAGTCCAGCCCTCTAATTGTTGGGCACGAGGAGGGGGTGAGTGTGGGAAGATTAAGCACCACCTCCTGGAGGGTGGAATATCTGCATATACTATCTGGAATTCTTCTGTAAGAATAGTTTGTCTCTTCTCCATGTCTTTATTGTGTCATCTAGTTACTTATATCATGTATATTTATCCGATACTTTGTATCATGATTCAGTTTTACATTTATATGTGTGTATTTGCATTTGTCCCAGCTGTGACCACCAGGTGCTTTTTCAGCTTAGTGACGGAGTCCCTTGGACATGCTTCCATACACTTGTTTCTTGAGAACTTCCTAATTTCCTGCCTCTGCAAGAGTCTCCAGGCTCACCTTGTGTTCTCCTTGCTCTGTCCCTAGAATACGCTTATTATTTCTGATGTCTCCAAGGACCCCTGGTTCCCATTATTGGAGACAAGTATTTAGAAAACCAGATTGGGTGTGTGGTGAGCTCCTGGCGTGTCACTGCTTCTAGGCTAAGAGGCTCCCTTTCGTTTTTTATTTTTTAATGTGTTTTTATTGATTTTTTAGAGAAAAAGGAAGCGAGAGAGAGATAGAAACATCGATGTGAGAAAGAAACATAGATCAGCTGCCTCCTGCACGCCCCCTACTGGGGATCGCGTCTGAAGCCCAGGCATGTGCCTTGACCAGGAATCGAACTGGGACCTCTCAGTCCATGGGAGGACGCTCAACCCACTGAGCCACACTGGCTGGGCCTAGAGGCTTCCTTGTAAAACATAAGGAGACACAGGGCCAGTGGCGGGAGGTGAGATTTGACCAGTCGTCCAGTTTTTGTTCTACGGATCTCAGTAATGGGCAAAGCTCTGCTTTACATTCTGGCTCCTCTTGGGAAACAGAATAAACCCTGCAGACTAGTTAGTGAGAAGGGGAAATGGAGGCCGGTGACCCAGAGGATGTGAGAATTTGGGAGAATGTCAGACGGGGAAGGTGGCCATGCAAGGGCTGACCATTCGTCCCCGTTTGCTGAGGACAGACCTGATGGATGTCTGCTGTCCCTGAGTAATCATTCAACGCGCCCCTTTCACACTCAGAAGTATCTCCATCTGGACAATCAACGACCTTGAAGATCAAGACTGCGGTGGCTAAGCCACGGGTGAGGACTGCAGGGTGTTTTACTCTGTCAGGCAATGTAACCACTCCTCTGCCTCTCTTAGAAATCTCCACGGAGATTTAAACCACTTGGCAAGATTCCTTGGATTTCCAACGTGTTTCTGTTCAACTTTTCTCTGGCACCCGGCTGGGCTGCAGCCTCCAAGGAGGTGAAGAGTGTCCATCTGAACAGCCTACTGTCCCTCCGTCAGTTGACCCCAGGGGTTTGGCCAGGCTTACAAGCCCCAACGGCTCCCACCTAAGGCCTCTGCGGTGCTTTGATGCCAGACATGGAAAGGGGGAAAATACCTTTAACAATCTTCTCTCGCTTCCGCAATCCTCCTCCAGCCTGCCTCATGCCTTGGATTCACGCCTGTCCCTTCCGCCGCTGTCCGTCCTTCCAGCCTTCAGGAACCCATCGTGAAGAACGCGGGAATGAGTGTGAGCCCGACTCTGTTTTCTACCTTTCAGATCTTGAAACGTTGAACTGATGTTTGGTTTGGTTTTGTTTTTATCCTCACCCGAGGACATTTTTGCATTTATCTTCAGACAGAGCGGGAGGGAGAGAGGGAAGGAGAGAGAGAGAGAAACATCGATGTGAGAGAGACACATCGACCGGTCACCACCCACACGACCCCAACCGGGGCTGGGGACAAACTGCAACTGAGGTACGTGCCCTTAGCAGGCACCAAACCCAGGACTCTCTGGTCCCCAGGCCGACACTCCTAACCACTGAGCCAAACCAGCCAGGGCTTGAACTGATGTTTATACAGCAAAAAAAAAAAGTTTTTCCCTATTAGATAAAAATGCAGAGAAAATCGTACAGTGTCGTTTAAAAACTCCAGTGGTCCACCCAACAATTTAAAATTCCAGGATTTCCTAGCAACCGCCATGCAGTGAAAATACACAGTGCTAAATTTGGAACCGAGAGGAACACTCACTTTTAACTAGGTTGTATAAAGCAGTACTTGCTCCGGGAACTACGGTCCTCGAAAATTTAATCAACTGCCAAAGAACCATTACGGTGTGTGCAAGTTTAAGAGTTAAATGGTTTGAAATACTTGGACCAGAAGGGTCTCCTGGTTTCTTTCAAACTGGGTTGCCCCAGAAAGTTACCGAAGTGCAGGCAAGCCAGGTGACATTTTTATATTTCCAGGAGGCCCTCGTGCCAAGATTCAGCCCACAGAGGATGATCAAATCTTCATGAAAACTCCCCGAAGTAGAAACGGGGAGCAGGAAATAAGACGTTCTCACGTCACCAGTGTGTTTAGCACCGGGGCTCAAGTTGTAAGAGCTGCTCAGGTCTTAGTTCTGACCGAGTGTGTTATAAGCCGCAGCTCCCAGCGCCTGCCTGTCTCCTGCAGGAAGGGGGGGGGGGGGGGTCTGCCCAGAGGTCAGGAGGCAGGTGTGAAGATGCCTCCTGGGGTGGCCCCCTCAGCCTGGCGTCCTGGGGGACTGACAACGAGGCCCGAGACAAACCTGGGCCTGGCCTGAGGTTTCACAAGGGGCCCTCCTCTCCCACCTGCTTCCTCCGCCTCGGGGTCAAGCCCCGCCCTGGACTGGCCTTGCTATATTGGTCTGGTCCAGACACACCTGAGATGTTTCGAGCCTCCTGCTTCTGCTTCTGCAATCCACAGCAGGGAGTCCCAAGAGAGTTCCCTCCGCTCTCTGTTTGTTACTGATGCTGGTCACATGGTTGGGGCTTGGCCGAGATGAGGAACCAGTTGGGAGGCGAACCCTGGGTGCACAGCAGGATGCTTGTGCTGTTCTGACCCCTGAGTAACTTCTCATGTGGGTTGAGATGCGCTGCTGAGCCTCATGGGGATTCCTGTCTGCTCATCTCTAATGAGAGTTTGGAGTCGGGAAGTACAGTGTAATGGGAAGTACACGGAAACAGGGTCACAATGTCTGATTTTAGATGTTGACCCACATCATTGAACCTCCCTGTGACCCCATCTCCCTGCCTGTCAATGGAGGTGATGATACCTGTGCTGCAGGGCTGTTTGGAAGGTCGGAGGAGACAATGCGAGAGGCTTTAACCATGTGGAAGGGATGCTGAGCACCCAGCTGTAACCCGGTTGTTGCTGCACCCGGGGTCATCTACGCTCTCCCCGGTTCTCAAGTCCTGACTCCAAGGACTCTCACGATGAGAGAATAGTTACTATCCATAATCCTTCCGTGATTCTTCCATGGACTCCTTCCCCATTCTTCCTTGAAATGGGGGTCTTAGACGCCATGAACCGAAAGCCAGCACCAGCAGCCCCTTCTCCCTGCTTTAAAAAAAAAAAAAAGCTGATGGTTCCGATGTGCCCAGGGGGCAGGGAGACCGTTTAAGTCCTGAACTGTTCACCAGGGGTCAGACGTTCAAAGGCGACTTTTCTCCTGCTCCCGGCAGCATGACTTACAGTCGCCAGGATCTGGAGCAACCCAAGCGCCAGGCAATAGACAAGTGGCTAAAAAAGAAAGAAATCTTACCACCTGTGACAGCACAGACAGACCCAAAGGGTTTTATGCCAATTTTGCCAAGTGGAATAATTCAGACAGAGAAAGACGAATAACACAGGATTTCTCTTATATGTGGAGTCCAATGAACAAACTAGCAACAGACTCAAAGACACAGAGAACAGACCAGACTGACGGTTGCCAGAGGGGAGGTGGGTTGAGGGCACTGAGAGGTACCAGCTGGTGGCTGCAGAATAGTCGCGGGGACGTAAGTACAGCACAGGGACTATAGTCAGTGACACGGCCATAGCTATGTGCCATGCCAGGTGGGGACTTGAAATCTTGAGGGAACGCTTTGTAAAGCATGTGATGGTCTAGCCACTGTGCTGTGCACCAGAAACTAACACAAAATGATACTGAATGTCAAATGCAATCGAAACAAAATGTTTATTTCAAGAAGAGTGCCACAGAGCAAATACACACTCAGCTCTGCGGGTACTGGAAATGGAATCTGGATTTGGGGGGGGGGGTATTCTGCCTGTCATCCTTGAAAGCACTAAAATGTTTCAGATGCTTTCCATACTTGTCGAAGTAAAAGTCCCCAGACAGGGACCCTGCTTTTAAACTTTTGGGGGTGATAGATATGGTCACCTACTGATGGTTTCTCAGCTGTGGGCATTTGTCAAAACCTATCAAATTGTGCCCTTTGAACATGCGCTGGTTATTCTATGCCAACTCTCTCTCAGTAAAGGCGTGTTTGCAAAAGCACAGACAGTGTTCAACACCGTCCAGCTGCTGACAGGGGCGTGCTGGGCACGGGGCGGCAAATCTGCATCGATCAATTCTGTTCTCATGCTCATGTGCTTCTAACTTTATGATTTAATAAATTTCATTGCAAACTTTGTCATTTAAAATTGAGATTTTTTTTCTTCAATGTACATGTTTACTTTAACATGTTACTTGCCAGTTGCACAGACTTCTGAGAGGGAAGGAGACAGAGGGAAAGCCATTTTTGCTAACAGGGAGGCAGTCGAGGGGAGCTCTGTACCACCAGGTCCCATTCGGGGAGAGCCCAGCCCGACGGGGGGCTGCGGGGGGAGGCTCCGGACATCCACAGGCAGCCTGAAGAGCTGCTCCGAGGATGCTGACGGAGAAGCAGGGCTGGGAGCCCAGAGGCCTTGCTCCTACACAGATCCTCCCACTAACCATGAATTCGATTCCTCGGTGGGCCTGGGGTGGAGCCCGGGAATCTAATGGTGGCTCTTAAAGAGATGCTGATGTATAGCTGGGATGCTGTAAAAGCTGAGTTCCCAAAGTCTAAACTGTTGATGCTTAGCTTTATCTAGAATAAAAATCGCCCAGTAGATGGTGCTGCCATCTCTAAAACAGAAGCGAGAAACCCTCCGAGAAAGGGGTGACACCTTTGCTCTGCAGTGAGTTGGAAAACCTGGCTGAGGCCGGGCTGCGCGAGCCCCGACTGGTCAAAGCAGCTCTGGGTGTCCTGTTCAGTCGCTGTGAGGTCAGTCTGCGCCGTGAGCAGGGCAGAGGAAGGACAGAAAGCCGTTACTGGAAAAGTTCATTTGATGGGAAACTGAAGGATGAGTTGTAGGACAGTTGTAGGTCAAGAATGAAAAAGATGGAAGGGCCTTGGGCTTCCAGAGTCTACAAATATAAAACTAACAATGATTAGTATGATGAGTAACTGTGACTGTGCATGATGAAGGATCATGCCTCCAGTGTTAATACATGATAACGTATTGTTTGTTTATTGCTGTGATTATTATCCAGCACTGACTCTGTGCCAGGCTCACTTCTCAGCACTTTACGTAACTATTTACAGAAAGTAACTATTTAGTCCTCACAACACAGCTATGAAGGAGGAATCACTGCGCTCCCAGTTCACAGAGGGGCAAACTGAGGTTGAGGGACTTGCCCGGAGTCATCCAGCTGATATAAGTGATGGAGCCAACATGACTTGTCTGGCTCCACCGTCTGCTCTGACCACCTACACTAACCTGCTGTATGTTTTCTAGACTCAGTGGTTAGTAATGGTTATAAATGATAATAATAATAATAATAATAATAATAATAATAATAATACCATGGCACAAAGAGGGCCATCCTGAAAGAGGTGATGGGAAGAGGAAAGAAGAGAATGAGCCTGGTCTTACTCAGGCTGAATTTAAGATGAGGACAGTGAGACCTTTGGTCCACTCCTTCCACATCGGATTCCCTTCCACAACTTTTCTGAGTGGCCTTGGGAAAGTCTAGAATGGGAGGTAGAATCCCGTCCCCCAAAGATCCCTTCTCTTCCTCGTAAGCAAGTCCTTCCTTGTTGTCAGAAAGACAGGTGATGTCGATGCCCCCTCGCCCCTGGCTGCTCCCTGCTCCCCACGTGGTGATGCTCCATCTCTGCGCCCTCCCCCGCTGTTTCCACAGGCCACCCCCCGACTTCTCCTAGAAACAAGGACAACCGGAGATAGAGGTGCATGGTATTTATTTTTCATGCAAAAATACATTTTGCCATTGTTTGCTTGTATTTGCATATCATTGCAAAATATGCAAGTCCCTTTTTCCTGAAGGCCTGGAAATACGTATGAACATATTTAAAAATCATTTATATTCAGCTTTCCATGTAACAGGGATAAATAAATATTATGATTTACTAGGTACTCAGGGAACATAATTCGACTCAGAACTTTGAAATTCTTTGTAATGATTTTTTAATATATTGATTAAATGAATGAAGGATGTAGTTCTTTAAATAGTATAAATTGGGTTTAGAATGAATCTAAAGCAATGTGTATTTTTTTTTCCATGTTGGCAATTTTTGTAGAAAAATACATCTTCCGGAAAAAAAAGAAAGAAAGAAAGAAAACTACATCTTCTGTTTTCTATCCATTTGAAAATGCTAGATGTGAATTCTAACCTATGTAAGAGAGTCCCAAATGCAGGACAAGCGTGTGCTCTCCCTATACGTAAATAATGGAGACATCCGAGATAGATGGATGCTGAGGATTGAGTTCAGAGAAATCCCTCTTCTCCCCAGGACGCTGGTGAAGGAGGAGGAAATCGAGGTAATAGCTCAAGGTACATGATCTGTGGAAGTGGATCCCAGCTCCCCCTTTAATGTGACGAAACCCAACCACTGTGCCTTCTGCCACTTGTCTAGAATGTTCCCCACAAATCAACAATGCTTGCTCGACACAGACATACATATCTCTAACTAGCAAAATATAAACTAATTTCTTTCCCTTATTTCAGGGGAACAGGGATGTATTTGTTTGCTCAAAATGTTCACAATTCAACCAAGAAATGAACCTGGACATGCTATTCTAATTAAAGCTACCAAAGTAGCCAATATTTTTTTATTCTAGCATCAGAAAAAATAAATAAGACCACAGTTGACCCTTGAACAACACGTATTGTTCAAGGGCCAAGGACCTGCACGGGTCCACTGATATGCATATTTTTTCAATATATACTATAAATTTTTCTCTTCCCTATGGTTCTATTAATAACATTTTCTTTTCTCTAGCTTACTTTATTATAAGAATACAGTATGTGCCCTGGCTGGTTTGGCTCAGCAGTTAGAGCATCGGCCCTCGGATCAAAGAGTCATGGGTTCGATTCCGGTCAAGGGCACGTATATCAGTTGCAGTTCAGTCCCCGGTCCTGGTCAGGGTCGTGCGGGAGGCAGCCAATCAATGTGTCTCTCTCACATAGATGTTTCTCCCTCTCTCTCCCCCCCACACACACTCTATCTGAAGATATATGGAAAAATATCCTCGGGTGAGGATTATAAAAAGAAAAAAAAAGCAATACAGTATGTAATACATATACCATACAAAATATGTGTTAATCAGCTGTTTATGTTATTGGTAATAAGGCTTCCAATCAACAGTGGGCTGTTAGTAGTTAAGTTTTGGGGGAGTCAAAGTTATAAAAAGATTTTTCACTTGACAGGGGTTGGTACCCCTAGCTCCTCTTTGTTCAAGGGTCAACTGCATTCTTCTCTTTGTTTCTAGGCAACCTCACAAGCCACCCACCATAAACAGAAGGTGTCTGACATTGCCCCAAATTCCCTTCTGCTGGCCCACAGGGGTGCACGGAGGCCTTCAGGCACTGGCCAGCCCCCTCCAGACATGTGCCTCTAGGAGGGTAAAATCACCCAAGTGAGTGATCTCAAGATACAAGGGCTGGGTGTGCCGACCTCTTTCTATTGTCAACAAATACAACAGAAAGCTGGGTCACTTCAAATGATCCTCTGCCAAGGGGCTCAGCTACAACGTGGGCTTTTGTGTCGGAGGCTGAAAGTACTTGAGCGTCATCAAACAAAAGGAAGAACAAAAATCACCTCCCACTGGCCTGTCCCTTCTACCTGGGCGTCCCTGGTTGACTCCTCCCTCCCTGGAGCATTGCTCTCCGGGAACACCTTCAGCGGAGGAATGCGACAGGGAGATTCGCTCTCCTGGGTAATCCCAATTCAGCAGCTTTTATGGGGCTGTTATCAGGCTGGAGTCTCACACCTCAGGTCAACAAGTCTGTCTGTTATTACCCCCAGTATTTGCTTTGGCAAACCTTGGTTGCAAGGTTAAGTTAGTTACATATAATCAAAATGTAAGTTGCATACATATATGTATCAAGCAAAACTGACTTCATTCTTCACAGCTAAAGTTCATAACTGTTAGAACATCCAAAAGGCAGCACTTAGGGCTCAGATATCTTTATAAGGCCCGCACATGCCACCACCATGGCCAGGACTCAATCCACACGCACTGAGAGATGTCAGACACCTGGGGGGGGTGGGGGGGGAGTCCAGCTGCTGCCA